GATGAAGTTGACAATAACTGCAAAAATACACAGATTTTTGCATAAAAGGTAAAGTAGTATGAGTAAAAGTCTTTGCATGTTGGAATTGTGTGAATGACTTAAAAAGGTCTCTTTCTGCAGATCGTTTTGCTCTGTTTATGTTAAGCGAAACAGAAACTCGATGCCAGTGTCTATAAAACCGATGAATTAAAGCGATTTATGGGACTCAATGTAAACTGTGAGTTCTTCAGTCTGGAGACATGACCATATTAGGTCATGAACTCCTCATCATCCTCAGTTTTCTCCAGTATTACATTATTGCCATGTAATGCACACTGTCTATAAAAATTGTCATTAAAATAAATTGAAGCTGAATTATGAAGGTTATTATAAGGTTCTATGATTTGTAGAGTCTGTCCTCACCTGTACATTCTGACATTTTTCTGTAAGGACAAAAAGTATGTAATAAAGCATCTATCTATTTATCAATCTACCTACTAACAAACTAACTATTGCACATTCTCATTAATATTCTTTGATATGTGAGAATGCATCAAAACTGGCTTGTCTATTTTACATTAGAGACACATAACAGTATCTAACTAAAACGACTTCTTTATGAAAAATACTGCTTTCTTTCACCTCTTCTAATTTGGAGCAGCACATTTTTCCTCAGTTGTGTATTGTGTGATATATAGACCTCCTGAAGACTTTTTATTCTACACTTGTGAACAGGTCTATGTGTGTAAAGTAAAGTTGTTGTCTGGCTCAGTGCCCCGTAAGTCCCATTGGTCTCTGTTTTCTCCGCAAGAGTAAATATCCCTGTAGAATAACTGGGGATGAATATTTGGGTTTGTTTACTCAATGACATTACTCACTGGAGCTGCTGTTTACCACTGTGTGACGGGGCGGCACACCTGACAGCACTTTTCAACAACATTAAGAGCAGCATGCCTTTCCTAATACTGTTCGATTAAAGCTTGGATTAAAGCCTGTGTATTTTTGGTGAGTTTTTTCTTTTTCAAGTTGCGGTACCTAACTTTTTTGTTGAATAAATAATCCATCTGTCTCCATCTCAGTAGAAAATATAGTATATTTTACAAACTTTTGGAAGAAAGAGCTTTGTGAGTCAATATTTGACTTAACTCACCCTGATTTCAACTTGATTTCACCCTGTCTTTACTTTCCAACAGAAAACGGTATCTTTGTTTTGCAATGTTATTTCTCATCCTGAAAAGCACCTGATTTTTTATTACGTCTTTGATTTTTGGACCCTGTAGCACTCTCTTCTCCTGTTTTCTGAGAAGTTTGACTTAACTCACTTTTAAGATCTTACATTTGGGGAGCCAAGAAACCTTCCTTATTTTGGTATAGATGCTCAGGTCAAACTTCGCTGGAAAAAGAATGTTTCTTTAGTTTACTGTTGTGACATGCATACATTGTATCATTGTATACAAAGATTATTTTTCATATCTATTTTTTACTTTTATAACTTGTACATGAGCAAAAGCAAACTTCTTGTGACTTCCTTTAATAAAAAAATAATTCTGATTATGCTCATTTCTCTTTTCCATTAAATTCACACTTGTTTTGGTCCATATTAAACTAAACCAGACCAACAAGTGTGAACATTCCTAAAGCATATCTCCATTATATACTTGCAGCCAACCAAAGCTTCATTCCTATCTTTCAATTTCTACTTCTTTCATTCCAAGGAAACAGGAAATGATAGAAGAAAAAAATCCAGACTAATCTACTGTGGTATTGGCCGGACAGGCATGCACACAGGTGAATGCAGTGCCGTCTCTCATAGATAATGTATGATGATAGTTTACGTACCAGACTATCTCCTTGAGCTAAAGTAAAGCCGTGTTAGAACAGGACTGGGCTTTAATAAATTACTTGCACAACATTGGTCCTGACCCATGTGCTCACACCTCCACACACATGATGGCAAACACCCTTTCCTCCACCTGCTCCACGCTCACACGTTAGCTCGCTGCCTCTTTAATGTGCTACACAGCTGCAAGTGGGACTATGGCGAAGGCTACGGCAGAGGTACTCACGAACTCAGACAGTATGTGTTAGGGCCGTAGTTAATCATTTATATAGTGACTATTTAGTTTTCAGTTTAGTTCAATTTCAGATCAATTTTTTGTTTTAACTCAAAATAAAAGTACATTTATGGAGCCATATATTCTTGTGATAAGTATATGAATAAATACATTCTCAAGAAACATTACAACGTTTTGTAATTATTGTTAGTCAAATTAATATATACTTTATATGCTTTAGCGCTCGATACAACCCTACTCCACACACGATGATGGTAATCTCCCACTGATTTGAAGTCTCTAAACACCACCAACTATTCTCCCAACAACACAGAATAAACATTTTTCAGTTTTTTTTTTGTTTAGGGAACCAGCCATGCATGAGTAAATGTATTTAGTTACGTAAAACTCCCAACAAATGACCAAAGGCACAGATTAGTGTTTCCAGTGCTTGCCTGTGTTTGGTGAGGTTTCAGTGTGATTGTGCTGCTCATCCCTGGGGCAGTCTCACTCTCTGACTCACAGGAGGAGGCAGAGCTAAATATAAGTGCAGTCTGGAATCATAAAGGGGGAGTGGATGTGACGGTCCGGGGGGATGCGGCTGGCAGCTGGGTGATGACTCGTGCAGTTGTGTAATAGTCCTGGGTCTGGGGGCTCTCTGTGTCACAGCTCAATGCACCCACTGGTTTTGGAAATAACCATTTGTGCAATAGTTTTTATTTAAAGATAGAAACCGTATACATTAGTCTTAGCTTAAAAAATTAAAGAATCAAAGTTTTAGAATGTGAAATAATACGTTCTGACTGTAACTCTCTACTCTACCACCTGAGTTGAATATCAATAAATTCACAGTTGCAAACCCAGCTATTTGACTGTAAATTTTGAAATAGTTTAGGGGCAGTACTTTTGTTTTAAAAGGCAGAAGACTTCTCTGAATTGGGATGTCATGGTACCATTCATTAAAAAAAAATATTACTCTGTCTGCACTTTCAGACTTCCAGAGTAAAAAAACAAATATATGAACTGCTGAACTAATAACATAGGCCTATAAACCACAAGGTGTGCAGCTTTTTGACAGATCAAGATGTTGTATTCAAAGCATTTAGATAAATACAGCTCATGTGACTGGCTCTTTATGGCCACTAAAATGATTACAGTAATTATAATTCAATCCAATTATAATTACTGTAATCTTGCATTCCGATCACTCACACTTTTTTATAGCTGATGATACCTTATTATGAGCCACAAAGACGTCTGGTCAAGTTGCATTTGTTATTCTTTAAAAAACATCGTAAAGATTATGAAAGAATTTTTAAATAAACTGCTATTACTCAATTTTCTTAATTTAATCCGCACGCCAAAACCTCTATTTAGTGTCTATTAATAATAGTGACATTAAAATAGATGCCGTTGACTGTGTGTTTTAATGTCCTGCCTTGCTCACTATCTTTGTAAAATTCCGGTCCAAGTCACAATCTCATGTATAGCCAGGCATGTGCACGTAACCATACACCTCGCCACACCCCGGATTCTTCTGAGGCCGTGCTTTAACGCTGTGAATGTTTCATTGACTTGACCCTCAAACAACCCAAACACCTGCTCTGTTTCCTATCAAGTCCTCTGGCCATCTGACGCACATTCTCTTTAGATGAAGTTTTCTTTTCTATGTGTCACTCTGAGTCGGTATCATTAAGAATGACCCTTTAGCCTATTTACTGGTGGGAGTATGTGACTGGACAGTGCTTACAAGGTTAAATACTGACCCTTAGTTTAACTGTTTTTATGGTTCGTTATGAAACTTTCAAATCTCCTAAAACAGGGCTGTCAATCTCATTTTGGTCGGGGGCCCTTGTTAACATGAGATTCTCTGAAAACCAAACATCTTTATTGTATATATGTAACCAAAACTGGACCAAATATAACATTAAACGGTTGTGTTTGTTTTTGTGTTTAACTACTTATCTTCTGTCTTGGTTAAATTATTAGAACAAATGAAATGTGGTTGTTTTCCTGAAAAAAATAGATGTATGTAGTATGACCTTGGTCCCCCATTACCCACAGGTACCATTACCCATTGGTTCACAATTTATTTTTTCTCCTGGAGGAATGCTGCCCTTGCTTTTAATCTTTTAAATCTTTTTTTCTGAGTACTATTGTTATGATTATTATTTGTGAACATTCTCATCTCTTCACAGACCTGTAGCTTTAAGTGTTGGCACCACTTGTTTGTTTCCATGGAGATAGAAAAAAATGCCATATGGTGGAATGTTTCAGCAGATGGTGAATCCCCCCATCAAACAAGGAGACGTATTGTATCGTGCTCCATAAGAACAGAATCTTAGGCTTTTATCTGTGTCATGTACTTGTAATGTATGACTCTCTTGGATTATTATGACAATATCTATATATATAAATTTACATGTTAAATAAATAATGAGCCACAATAATAAATATAAAATAAATGACCCCTGTACTTAAGTTAAATTAGGTCAATAAAGGTCTATCTATCTAATAATCTGGAGTTATCTGGAACAGTCTTCCTGAAAATGTGGGACAGTCTTCTTCTTTGGCAATTTTCAAATACAGGTCCATTTTTTCTAAACATTTCTGTTTAGCTGTTTATACAACTGACAGAATGTATCTGTATTGTTTTGTTCGCCACTTTGCCCTGCCTTGCAAGAGGGAGTGCTAAGAAAGAATTGTTGGGTCAGAGAGTGTTTGAGCCTGTGTCTCATCCAGTGTGTTTGTGTGTGTGTGTGTGTGTGTGTGTGTGTGTGTGTGTGTGTGTGTGTGTGCGTGTGCGTGTGTGAGTTTGTGGTGTTGTGTTGTGTTGAATAAAATGTCTACTTTGTGCCAACTCCCTCAAACTGTGTATTAATCTTTGTTTTGTGTTTTTGAATGAGATTTTAACAAAACAAATGATCGTTAGATTTGTTCTCTAACAATGTGTCTCTTTTTCTTCAGGTCCTGCAGTGGAAGCATGTCTTGACCGTCCAGAGACACCAGAGTAACCTCAGAGCCGGACCATGGCGTCCACATTTCTACTCGTCCTGGGCCTCTACCTCACTTCGCTCATCTCTTCACATTCACAGACTATCCTCGGCACCTCCTCCTCCTTAGACCAACCTGGGACTTCTGCTCCAAATCCTCCCAGCAAAGATATCGTACAATTCTGGCCTTTTCCCACCAGGGGGCGCAGCGATGTCCCTGTGAGATCTACGCTGCGAGACGGTTTATCCAATTTGGTGGAACCAGGATCAAGATTGGCACGTCCCACTATTCCTTCAAAGCCTTCCGTGAAATCATCTTCAGCAACATTAGATCTGAGTAGTGTTCTTACCGTGAACCAAACCGTGGTTACGAGACCTCGAACTGATACAGAGAGTCTTGCTTTAATCAGGGCTAAAGCGAAGTTAGATTCCACTACAAAAGGAACAACTTTAGCTCAACCAACATTAGATAAAGGTGCCTCTATTACTGTAGCAACCGATTCAACCGGACTTGACTTGCAAGGTTTAGGGTCTGGAAATGTCCCCACAACCAAAGAAGATCCTTTACCACCTCCAGGGACATATCGGAGTGAGCGGGCGCAATATCGACCTCCTGCGTACACCGTAGGGCCCTCGCCAACTGCGACGGAACTGTTCACACCGGTGCAAGCGACAGAGAGGCCTGAATCTCTGGGTCTGACCACAAAACGCAGCATGACGACAGCAAAGGAAGAAGAGAGTGTAACAGAGGCACCAGTGGCCACACCTCAGCCAGCGGTGATAGCAGGTGAGATACCAGTGGTCGGCAAAACAATTGTAACATTTTTGGTGTGTAGTCGTACATTATCTCCAACAGACCCTCGTGTTTGTGTACACTATCATGTGAGTAATCGGTTAATCAGTTGGTATTATCCAGTCCAATCTAATTTATCTATATAGCACATTTCATATACACAGTTTACACAGTGCTGCTCAATAAAAGGCTAATTAAAACAAGCCCATAGTAAAACTGTAAAATCGTAACAAATCAAATAGAAATAATGAAAGAAACAACGTGTGTGCATGTATGTATATATATATAAGAGTAATAGTAAAACAAAATAAAATAAAAGAACCATGCAACTCACGCAGTGTTAAAAGCCAAAGCATAAAAATGGCTCTTAAGGCAAGACTTGACTTAAAACTCTTAAAACACAGAAGGAGCAGTTTGAATAAAGGGGGGGCAGAGCATTCCAAGGCTTTCTTCCAGCCACAGAAAAGGACAGGTCCTTTTCGTCCTCGGTACCACAAGCAATATTTCACCAACGTGTAAGTATTGAAATAATATTTTTTTGGCGATACATCTTACTGTTCCACAAAGGCACAACAATTATAACTTAACCATGAGTTCCCAGTATCTTTACCTGAAAAAAGAGGACAGACGTAGGTAGCTGCTTCTCATGTTGCTGAGCTCAGGTTTTTATGCTGCAGGAGCTGACAGTAGAGACCAAACAAATTTATTTTTGTACTCCCCAAAACCACAATTAGAAAACCAAACATCTATAACAGTGCCATTGGTTAAAAAGAAAAAAAAAACCTTTGTTCACAGGAATTACCATAAGCAAAAAGAAAGTAATTAAGTGCTTAGACACCCCTTATTCGGCAAAGAAAAAAAGGTTTAATCAAAGAAACTGGTAACCCAAATGAAGGCTCATTCTGCTTTGTGATTGGATGATAAGCTTGAGTTTTATAACTATAGATAATCATTGTAGAACATCTACAATGTTTATGTTATTAAGAAAAAATGAGCAAATATATTTGACAATAAAAATATACATTAATTTGTATACTGCTATAATTGGTTGGATCGGGTTTACCTTTTGTCTGGGGGCATAAGAAAGTGCACCATGTATTCATGATTTAAAGGAAAATCTTGTTTTATCTTTATTTATTGTATTTATATATATAAATATATTTTGAAATACATGTAATACATCATAATATTTCATTATTGCATAGTTAGTTGAAAACCTTTTGTGTCACATGTCTGAAAAATTAAATTCTCATTTTAGGTGAATTAACAGCCAACACGCCATCATCCGACAGAAGTCCAACAATAAAACCCAAGATTCTTCCGACAACAGCCACAATACAAGAAACGACTGAAGGACGAAAAGTGACCTCTGCTCTCAACACCACACCGACTACTACTACTACTACTACTACAACTACTACTACAACTTCAACTACTACTACTACTACTACTACTACTACAACTACCACTGCTGCATCAACTACTCCTACTTCTTCAACTACAGTTACTGTGAGGAAATCAGTACAACTATCACCTAAAATATCCACTCCATCCAATAAAACCGCCCCAGCAAGACCATCCATGGATCCAAGTCCTCAGTTCACCAGAACAGGTAAGATAAGACAGATTTTGCTTTTCTGTTTTGATTTGATCTATGATTTGAGATGCCATATTAATCTTTGAAGCAGCTGCAACTTCTTTACTGGAGGAGCTTGGAATCGACTTCAAAAGATAGTTTTGAGGGGGGGAAAGCAGAAATTATCCATGGAAACTCGGGAGAAGGCTGTGTGGAATATGTGGGTAGACCAAGCATCTGGGGGAGAAGGGGGGGTCAGGTGGGCCCGGTTACAGACGGGAGAAAAACAGCTGCCTGGTGACTGTAGGAGAGGGAGTTGACATTTGTGCTGAATTTCCAATAAGGGGAAACTCAAGGTTCAGAAATGTAGGGAGTGGAGATGCAGTAATGAAAAACATATGCGCCTTTAGATGGTAATGCTTTAAAACACGTTTGATTTTTTAGTTGAGTTTTTAACCGCGCCACAAGATCGTTCCCTCGTCCAAAATACAGGAGCTCCATCCAGGCTAATACGAGGAACTTCTGACGCAAATTCTTCCTCACCTTTTTCAAATGCCACGGTGCTTTAAACCTGAAACGCTGTGGCGAATCCTACAGTATAACTTTATTGACACAGATGTTTTCTGTCTTTTTAAACTGAAGTACTTCCTTGAAATTAGTTTGGGGAATTTCTTGATTCAAATTATATTTGTTAACAACTGTGTGCTTTGAAATACGGCGCACTGGATGTTTACCAAAATAGAAGGATGTTTTTTCTCCTTTCTACCAATTTGTTACGCTACTCAAGGTCCTTTCTATACCTTATACATGTTTCTCCATATTTTCAACTTCAAGTCAACACAAATAATGCATGGTATGTTTTAGCAGCAAAACCGCAAACATTGAAAATTATATTTGGCCTTAAAGCTGAAGCTTGTCAAGAAACCATTTAACCCCATTTAAATACCTCATTGTTTTGTATCGTAGATAGAGACAGCACATCCAATAACCTTCATCTGTGTGCTGGGTCAAAAACAATGAATGGAAAGTTGTTACTGCTGCTGCTGCTGCTGCTGCTGCTGCTGCTGCTTCTGCTTCTGCTGCGCGGCTCTCTGTTCTGTATTGTATTGTATTGTGGCCAGAATAATAATGTCATGTTAAAGCTAGGGTAGCCTGGTCTTACCTTACCATCGTACTCATTTCCTTTCTTAGATGTAGGGAAGGTTTATTTGACTGGAGTTTACAGAGGGCTAAGGCCAGGAATGTGAACCTGAGTGATATAACAAAACTATTTATTAATAGAGATGTAATTACATAGGTAAAAGTTTTGTGGTTTGAAAGTTCGGTACCCAAGCTTTAGGTGTCCTTGAGTGTGCAGATAGGTGCTATGTAAATGCAATGCATTATCATATCATACGTAACTATTTGAGACCTTTATTACATTCATGATTCTAATAATATACGATACAATAACACAATATGAAGCCGCTGTATTGAGTAGTAAACGCTGAATAAGTTGAAATGTGTGATTCTTTGACCTCGGAGGTGAAAGGATATTTACATTAAGTCCATTGCCTTTTGTGGGCATGCAGCAGCCGTAGCAGCACGTCTCTCTCTGTGTTTAAGGAACTCAAGGATAGGGGAAAGTTTAAATGCATCCAGCTGTGAAATTTGATCACCACATCTGGAAGAAGTCTGGAGTTTACTTCTGTAAAAAAGAACAGAACTCTGGGAAGGAAGTCAGACATACCTCTGTACAAATAAAGAAAAGTGGCAATGATCTGCATGCGGCGTCGGCTGTGTCATGGGTGGGATGGGGAAAACTGGGAGAGACGGGAAGTGCAGCACATGTCAGAGTGACTCATTATTAGTCTCTGTGTCAACTTTTATGGTGTTTTGGACAAAACTTAGAGGCTTCCAACATCCATCAGCCTCGTGTCGACGTCACTAATGTGTTTCGGAAGTCATTTGGAGCACTGTTCAGGATTAAAGATATGTATTAACATTGTCACATAAAAACAATCATAGAGCTATAAGCTACAAGATAATTGAGTAATCGCCAGCCTAAAACAAAGTCATTTTGATTAGAGCAGTGGTTCTCAACTGGTGGGTCAGGAGCATATCTACTACATTGTTAAAAAAAAAAGTTCTCAAATGATCTCAAAGTAACTTAGACAAACATTGTTATTATAGTTCATTTGTGTTAACTGTAGTTCAGAAAACCAGACGCTAAGAATGTGTCCACACTTGTACTGGTTTAGCTCCGGTTTAGTGAAATCCCACTCTATAATACTATTAGATTATGTCTTTTATATTTCGTTGATAATAATAATAATATTGCATCATACTAGTATAGCACTTTTTGTAAATATTTCCATTGTGAGATCAATATGCTCGAGATGCTTTGACCAATAGCACACTTTGTTCTTCTATCAGTATCACAGAGGACTTGGTCAAACTATTTCTAGAATAGATTATATAAAACATTTCTAGAATATTAATCGCCTGGGTTCAAGGGATTCTAAGTGTGTTTACTCCATCCATCCATTTTCTTCTCCTTAATCCATTTCTGGGTCGGGGGGGTGGCAGTCAGAGCTGTCACCCAGTACACATTGCACCAGCTACTATTGCAACAACACATCATCAGGGTAAAACTAACCTGCCTCATGCCGGAAATTGTTTTTGATCCCAATGAATACATGTTTTACTCTTAGGTGTATTTCTCAATGCTTTTACTGTAATATTTTTTCATGTTGTCATTTTTTGAATCATTGCATCGGACTGGTATCAGATGAAATCCCATCAAAATTGTATTGGCACAACTCTTTTGTTGACTGCACGGCCATAAGTTACACAAACACAAATGGAAAGTCTTTTTATCATGTTGTGTATCAATATAACCTTTACGGTCTCGTTCCTCCCTGTTCCTTATGGTTATGATGAATGGCTCCTTATGATTACACAGCTCTTGGGTGTTCCCATTGTAAAGAAAAGGAGGAATGTCTTCTCACTGAAGTGTACAGGAACCAGTTGTAGAACTAGATCTGCAGAGCCATAGTTTATGTGGAATCCAGCTAAATGAAATGTAAAATAAAGGTCTTGGGGGTAATTGTGCCCTCAATCCTCCTGATTCCTTTTTGCTTTTTATAACTTACCCTTTTCTAAACAGATGACACAGTTTTATGGTTATGTAACTAAGAAGGCTGCATTAATTATATAACGTAATCCAATTAAGTCACACAAACGCCGACATGAGTAAGACGTCGTGTCACATGTTTGATATAATACAAAGTAGATTATCACGGACGTCTGATTCAGCTCTGGAACAAAACACTTCAACAACAAGTCAAAGCTTTGGGAAGAAACGTACCTGCAGCTGTTTTAACAATGTATTCACAAAAATAAATACATTATGATAAACATATTTGAAATTGCACCTATATCTAAAGAGTATCCTCAATTGCATCTGGTCTTTTGTGATTATTGATGCATTGAAAGAGAAAATGGGCAAGGCAAGTTTATTCATTTAGTCAATCTCAACCTGCTTTACAAAAAAACGAGAGAAATAACAAAAAAAACATTACAAGAGATATTACTAACAGTTTTTACTTTTTAGTCCTGGTTTATGGTTTCTTTTCTGGAACAACGCTTGTTCACCTATAGTTCGTACTATATGTCATTTGTGAGTTAGTCAAAGTTTAAATCTGGGTGGTTGAATTCCAGTTTCAATCTAGTGCATTGGTTTGCCTGAGATTTTTTTTGTGTTTTACTTTCTTTCCAAAATAGAGCAGAGACAGTTATAAAATATTTATTGAAACAAATCTAGTGTTTGGGATATTGCATGTGGCACCGAACTGTCCCGCCGGAGGCTTTGGCCCTTCTGGAAAACTGAAGTGTCTTGCTCTAAACAAGTGTCTTGCTCTAAACAATCATTTTAATAATCCCCACACACAAGTAAAACGTAAAAAGTATTACGCAGTATTCTTTGATATTAACAAACATAATATTACTCGTTCCTCTGTCATTTCATGTTTTAGAATGTGAAAATGTGAAATAATAGAAAAAATATGATGAAGCAAGTAAATAATGCTATTGCCCTGTACTATCCAAATGCTACCACCAGAGGGAAAGGTGGAACTTTTTTTGTCCAAATTTAAAAGTTTGAGAAATTGCCAAAACTAATTCAGGAACTATACTTTTGTTTTAAAAGGCAGTGTGAAGTTTTTGACAAAAACAATTTTCATCCATCCATCCATTTTCTACCCTTTAATCCATTTCTGGGTCAGGGGGGTGGCAGTCAGAGATGCCACCCAAGTCTCATAGCACCAGCCCCTCACTGACCCTTTGCAGGTGGTGAGTCCACAGGAGGACAATTTTCATAACATATGCAAATTCACCCATGGAATGAAAAAATAAACTGATACCGCAGTTGAAATTAGTCTTCTTTCAACCGTTTTTGTCACATCTTGTCAAAAAGTACTCAATTCAAGATTCAGGCATCAATAATTACCTTGTATTTTCAATCAATCAATCAATCACATTTTATTCATAGAGTGCCTCTCCTACACAAGGCAACACAAAGTGCATCAAGTGTTTGTAGTTTGTTTTTGTGTGGTTTCCATGTCACCATTAATGATTCTCTCTTTCAGGGACATCTTCCTTTCTGACCTCCAGTGTCGTACCCGGGACAAGGCCGGCCTTAAGCCCCACACACCAGACTGCTGTAAGCTTCAAAAACCGTTCCTTCCCTCTGGGTCGCCCTCTCCTCCCTCCAACCGTGAGCTCAGGGCCCTCTCCCACCGCTGTAGCAGCCAACGCCACCTTGCTCTACTGGGGGGACCTGAGCCGGACTCTCGCGTTCGTCTGGGAGCTACACGTCTATGGAACAGCCAGTCTCTTCCTGCTGCTTTTCGCTGGAGCGGCCCTTGGTTTAATACTCTCTTCCGGTGCTAAATGCCCTCACCGTGGTGCTCTGGCTCTAGCTAACATTCTCCTGTTTGTGGCAGGATGCATTAGAGCTACATTCTTTTTCACTGACCCTTATGGTACCCGCAAATTCCTCCCCCGCCCCGCTGTCATTGCCCTGTACAATCTCCCTTTGCACTTATTGGTGTGGACTCAAGCCACCATTCCTATACTGGCTATGAGGGCAGCAGGTGTGAGCTTGTTTCCTCCGACTCTGGAGCGCCCCCCGCTGGTTGCAGTGTTGGCCGTGTTGCATTGCACCCTCCTCCTGGCTTCGGACCTGCTCTCCCCAGCTCTGTCCCCTGTGGTCCCAGTCACGCTGCAGTTCTTGTCTCTGTGCTGGGGGCTGGTTGTCTGCGTCGTTTACCTGTGCTACATTTTCCCCCACATTCGCTGCCCTCTTATTCCTCACGCAGCTCTTCCTGATGCCTCACATAGAAAGGCTTGGAGCGGGAGCAGGAAGCTGGTGGTGATTCTGGGCCGAGTGTTGGCAGTGTGTGCGGTTCTAGGGGCTCTCTGCTGCTGTCTTCATGCCTATGCCACACTCTGGCTCTATGGGCTGCTGGGGGACGGGACGCGCTTCACCTGGGGCTGGTGGCTGGTGCATTTCTGGGCTCGGCTTCTAGAGTTAGCCTGGGGTTTCTCACTGCTGCTGCTGGCCTCGTGGCTCTTCTGGAAGCCGGAGAGTTGCAGGGGCCGAGACGAGGCAGGGACAGATGGACGTGCAGCGGGAGACGTGTCCTCCGCGGGGCAGTCCTCCGTCTCAGCACAGCGCCACACCTGCTGGTCCAAGATCGTTCAGAGTCTGAAAGGAAAGCCCTGCAGAAAGTCTGATAGTAATGGGGTAGGGTCAGCGCAGGGAGAGGTGCCTAACAATTGGGCAGGACAAGACCGATCTGCCGCCGACATTAGTAAGAGTCTCATCAGGAACCAGAACCAGAGCACAGTCCCAGCAGGACCAGTGAAAGACAACAACCGCAGGGCCCACTCTGCGGAGCGCGGCGTTTCTGATGAGTCCGCTGGATCTCTGCTCCGTCTCCAGCCGTTCACACGCCCGCCTCAGCGCTCGGTCAGTGGGAGCCAGGACATAGACAGAGACACTTCAGTTTCACTCTATGAGTTTGATCTGAGGCCTCCCTCCCCCATCGACTTGACCCGCAGCATCGACGAGGCGCTGCACAGAGAACACCTGCTGACCGGGGGCAGTCTGTTCCACCCCCCTCTGTCTCAGACTCCGTCCCCCGGATCAGGACTCAGTCAGGGGCCATGGCTGCGCAGGAACAGTGACCCGCAGCTCTCCGACAGCAGCGATGCCACAGAGTCCTCTATGCCTCTAGGGGGCAGTATCATGAGCAGTGTTCCCAGCAGGCAGGTCACAGCGCCCCCGACACCTTCTCATCAGGGGCACAAATGGGGAGGAGCTCTGGGCAGTGTTCCCTCCTCAGTGTCCTGCCCCGTGTCGCTGCGTCCCACCAGGACGTCCTCCGGGCGCCTGGAGGAGGACGCGGTGGATGACACGAGGCCCTTCATTACCCCAGACTCAGACAGGGGGCGCCGGCGAGCAGCAAAGCCTGTAGGGTCTCGCAGTTACCTGGAAGTGTCCCGTCATGACGACTCTGCCAGTGTGAGCAGTGAGATTATTGACCTATGAACCGCACCATGTACTTCCCAAACATTACTCTATGCTTTTAGTAGATCTCAAATATTTACAGTAACTGTTCAAATATCCAAAAGCAATTGTGGGATACTTAAATGAAGTATCACTAAGCTGCCTTTAACTTTTTGAAAACAGAACATTTCAAACATGCATTTTACTCTGGGAGTAAAGCATGACATCACACTGGGATCGTAAGACTCTGGGACGTTGGTGGATAGTAATATATGCACAGTGCACTGTGGCTCAGGCCATGACCTGTTACAGTTTGCTTGTTGAGAATGTGCCATGTGTTCGGTCTGTGCTTCTGTGTTGTTGATGCATAAATCCATATTAGATTAGGTTCATGTCTTTAGGCAGATGGCGACATAAATATCGCAGACACCACACATCTTCACGACAAAGTATTGGAGTGCAATTTGACTCAAATGTAATGATTTGCTAGACATTACGGTACCTTTATCCCTGTATTTCGTTTGCACAAATAATATAAGATTCATATTACAGCTTCTCCTAGTTCAGCCCAGTACATTGCAAATACTACCTAATAATATTAAGGCCTATGACTGCATTTTGGCAACAGTGTTTTAAACAATATATATTCTATAGCGATGTGATCAACAGCTACACATGTTGGAAAAGCTGTCCTATAATACAAATGCATGAACCAGTGGAACCAGCACTTAATATTAGCCTGAACACATCACAGAATTACTTTAGGAAACATCACACATGCAACAATGTAAATAATGTTATTTTTGTACATAAACAGAGGTTATTGAAGATATGGGTGCGATCCTCCTCGACAATGTGAAAGACAATCTGAATCTGGAGTGAAGGCCTGTACAGGTTCTGTCAGTGTTTCTGGGCTGCGCTCAGTAATTATTGAACTTGTCTTTAAATGAACTGTATGTATCCTGCACTTTTGCTCTAAACAAATAAATATATATTTTTTTAGATTGTATAACCCTATATCACAACACCAGGGATTTTGGAGGACTTTACAAAGTTGGCAATAGATCAGAGCGTCAAACCGTTTGAACACCGGAAATGCAATAATAACAAACACATAAGAGCCAATTATCCATAGGGAGCAGAAAAACCAATGTCCACAAATCTTACAATCGATAAAATAGGTTGCGTTTGTCCACTCTCGAGAAAACTGGGTTACATTTTAAAAACACTGGTCCTGGTGATTTCAAAATTATGTGGAAGGATTTGAAACATATTTATCCCAAAGAACCCTTTGTATTATATATAAATACACTGATTTGAATATGTACACTATCTACCTGGAGACACAGATTCATATCATATTTACTGTGTGTGATAAAGATATATTCTACATACAGCTCCTTTAAAGACTGATTCTGGAAGTGTTGTAGTCGGCCTTTGTTTCGTTCTGCTTCGTAGATTTCGTATCACTATAATAATTCATAAACCATTGTTTTACTGATGCTTGTTTTTACAGTGTGATTGTTATTTGTTGCCTTGGATCTTTGTATGAAATATAAATGATGTACAGTATTTTGACTACTAGTAACCAAACTAGATAAACCTTATTTTGGAATAAGACTTTTCCCGTGTGTCCATCCCGCCCCCGAGTGGCCAGTGTGTCCCCCGAGTGGCCAGTGTGTCCCAGTGCTTGCAAATGCATTCTTGGCCTTGTGTTGTTTACATTCCAGTGAGCCTTCCTGCTTGTACCTGCTGTTTGCTCTGAAGTGAATGGAGCAGGAGAGAGACCTGTAGATGATGTCACCCAAACACCTCGATGTGCCATAGAGACAGACAGTGTTAGCTCTGTTACGCTCATTTTCTGTTCAATGTTGCTGCATTTGCGTTTGATTCCAATAAACATACAGAACAATATATACTGGGTTGTCTTTCCTTTTTTCGTTTTCATTTTCTTTCATCAGGGACATTACCAATTATTTCTGTAAAAGTGCCAGTTCCAGCCACAAAGCTTGTTTTCAGCTGTGATCATATAATAATTAAGTGTATCTATTAGTTTCTATGGTTTTATGACATACAACTATAAATTATAGTTTTGCTTCAATAATCAAGTCACAGTTTATGATGAAAAGTTTAAATTTACAGGAAGTAGAGGATGTTCTTGACGATGGGGCGGAAAGAAGTTTGGCCCAATTTCAGTGAACCATTACACTTCAATGGTTCACTGAACAAAAAAAACATTTTCTTAAGATTTAATTTATAAAATAATAATAATAATAATAATGTTGTTATATTAGAGATAAGATGTGTTGTTAGAAGTTGCTCTCTTACTTCCTGAGCATGTCATCAACGCCGACCAGGAACTTTTTGATATATTAAAGTATAGCATAATTAATGGTTCATCTCTGAAGAACAATATTCAAACCAACAGTAAATACATATTTAAAATCCTTAAGCATAGACATTATTCAACACAAGTCAATACCAAATCAGATTTTTATCAACATTCACATTTAAATTGATTAAAGAGAGAGAAAAACAGTAAGTAAAGTCATACATTTAAAAAGTCTTATTTAGAATATGCTGATGTTAAAGCTGGGGTACCGCACTTAACTTTCAAACCAAAAATGATGATAAAAATAACTGCCACATCTTTAGATTAGCCTTTTTCGGACAGAAATATGAAAAAGAGAGGACCAACCTCTTTCAGCCAATCCGCTCCCATCCATCCATCCATCCATCTTCTACCCTTTAATCCATTTCTGGGTCAGGGGGGTGGCAGTCAGAGATGCCACCCAAGTCTCATAGCACCAGCCCCTCACTGACCCTCTGCAGGTGGTGAGTCCACAGGAGGACGGCTGCTCTCTGAGTGTGAGCATAGCCTTGATCTTTCAGTGGGGGCTTTGGGCAAAGTGGGGTTAAGTGTCTTGCCCAAGGACACAACGACAGCAGTCATCAGTGGGAGTCGATGGAGAAGGTGCAGAGGTGGGAATTGAACCCACGACCTTCTGGCCTTAAGGCCAATGCTCTACCAACTGAGCTACTGCCGCTCCCATCCCAAAGAGTCAAATACTAAATAACGCTTTCTGACAAAATTGCAAGACTTTCTGCTGCGACAAACAGTATGATTTATGAAACACAGAATAGTTAGGTACCCCAGCTTTAACCCGTCATGTCACATTAAACACACGTCCAAAAAACTACTTGAGAATCCTCCATTTTTTTCCTGTAGTCTTCGTCAAACTCCTCATTTTGTCCCACAGTGAAATGGTTCTTCCAGTCTCCAACTTTCCCTGGTTAATACATACAACATTTAGTGATACCATTGCCTTTTACTTCATGTTGTTTATGTTTTTTTATTGTTTATTTTACCTTTTCTCAAGAACGGAGACAGCTTCTGATCCATCAGTTTGGCGGTGGTGAAACTGATCATCTGGTTTTGCTTCATATTATCAAACATCGCTGTCGTTTTCACTTTCTCCAGTTCCTCGGCCGAAAGAGACAAGCCGAGGAAGTCACAGAGTCTGAGTATTTCTTTTGACGAATCCTAGATGGAGATGGAAATAAATAGATTTAATCACATTTAAGCTGTGAAGTTTAAGCTGGGTAAGAAGGATCCTCACCTCTATCAAGTCCTCATAAAACATGAAGTGGATTTTGGGATAGGTTTGCTTCTTTTTCCACCAGTTGTTGACGTGATTGTACCAGGACCCAAACACCACTGAAAATATAAATGTGCATATGTTTTTATCTGTTTATCTTTTATCTTCCTTTCATGAAGCTGTCTATATATGTGGCCCAGTCCCCGGGTTCAGGCTGTGCGAAATTCATCCGAGAGAAATAGTAATAAGATAAAGATAAAGATAAGATAAATGAGATGGAAGAAGTTGAGGAAGAAGAAAATTATACAAATGAACTTTTTACCAGTGACTTTTTCACAAATTAGCAGCAATTATTGCCTGTTTTTACATTCTTTACTAACTACTTCAGAATGAGAGTTATTTGTATTGCCAGAATAATTAACAGGAACTCACAAAAAGGTGCATAAGAGTATTCTCTTTTTCTGGGTGGATCATCAAGACGATTGGTCCTCCTAACTGTCAATCATTCTGGTGATATGTGACTCAAAGCCGCTGTACGTTTGATACAGTATATACAGTCTATGGTTTTAATAGGCGTTCCCTTTGGAGAGGGTGGTTCTTTCCTAAAGTTCGGCAAAACCCTCCTTTAGACCTGTGTATGAACCGCAACAGCTACATTTGTAAAGAAACATTTTGTGCACATATAAGCAGCACTTTACAGCCGGTCTTCAGGTTGTAATGTTACACTTAACTAACAGTTGATAGACGGCTAACGCTTAAACAAGTGAAAATAGTCACAACATAATTTAATGATGAGGTGTTTTATTGTACTGTTGACTTGTGATGGACAGAGATTATGGTCAAAAAAACCATACAATCTGAGAATTCAAATTGTGTTAGCATGCTTACCTTGAAGGTTGGCTTCTATGGTTCTATTTTGACAGTAAACATATGTCCTATTGCCAAAACTAGTCAAATTAGTCGACAACAGGCAACTCTACCACAATAAAAATACATAATCTGGCAGCACCTTTCTATAAGCCGCAGGGTTCAAAGAAATGAAAGAAGTAGCGGTTTATCGTCCAGCAAGAGAAAATAATACCTCAGCCTGAAACATATTTGCTTGTTTCGTTGACAGACCAAAATTCAATCCAGAAAAACACAACATTTGAATTCTTGAAATGAAATCATAAAAATCATGAAACATTTTGCAATTCAAGTAATTTTTTGGCTAATATTTAGTCCTTTTTTAATGTAAAATGAAATAGCGTATATATATTTTACCCTGCAGTTGTTTTCCCAGAAAGACTTGGGCACAAACTGGACGGGGAGGTGAGACTTAATGAGTCTTGGACAAGTACGAACGTTGTCGGCCAAATCCTTTCCTTTAATGAAGAAAAAAGAAGGAAAACAGAAAAAAAAATCTCACAACAAATCATGGAACAGAGCACAACTAAGATGTATCTTTATTCTTACATTAAAAAACAGAGGAAGCCATTTTGATATTACCACAATATACTTATATACTTTTACAGAAAACTTTATGACTATACATCCATTTATTTATAATATTTTTAGGATAATCCCCTAGAGATTATATATTTTAAAAGTTTCAAAGGGAGTTCTTAAATTTACACTAAATGATTCACAAATTCCAAACAAATACACGGGGCCTCATATGATTTCTTTTCACCTGAAGGCTGAGCAGGAACAGCTATGTCCAGAAAAGGCACTCTTTGTGTGAGTGGGACAGTCATTTTACTCTCTGGACACGTCTGATCGAAATACAACAGGTCTATTATAAATGAGACCCATGTCATCCCTGTAAACAAACCACAAACCATCAAACCACATTCTTGCTCTCTCTGATGGTCCAAAGGTCTCTGCACATTCTTACCCGCTTTGGGGTATGTTGCAATAAGGATATCATCGGGTTTGGCTTTAAAATGTTGAACATTTTCCCAGTTATCAGTGAAGTGTTTACTGAAGCAGACTCCATTGAAGTCTATGAGTGGTGGTCGTTGTGGCTTCTCCTGCTGCTGTGACATTGTAACAACCCTAAAAGTGACTAGATGAATGATATTCAAGAGATGCAAAAAGAAAATTACACATTTTTTTACAATTATAATATGCATGAAGTGAGCTGGGTGGTATATGACCCTCACTTACCTCAGTTACCTGTGACTCTGCAGGTCTGATGCTGTTTTCAATGATTTTGAGTTTTGAAATCTCTGCACACTTCCTGGTCTCAAAAAGTGGGAGTGTCTTGGGTTGGTATATATTTGTTTATTTTGTCAAAACATAAAAGATATAAAATGTACAAAACACAATGTCTGTAATTATAAAAATATAGAATTTCTAATACAAAATGACAAAACAAATGAAAACAATATACAAACATACAATGAAATAATTGGATAATGGAGCAATCAATGACACAAATCAGGGGTTATATGTGTATACAATTTATATAGTGATTTACTTTACTGTTGCTTTTATTAGGCCTATTAATATAAGAGTTAATATAATAATATAAAAACATTCCACCCCATTCTACATTTTTGGGTATGACTAAAAAATCGAACATAATTGTCTTGTTGTATTTCATTATAAATATTCTACATAGTAAAATAAATGAGATTCATCAAATCCCCCTGTGAACCAGAAAGAGCCAGGGGTGCCGGTTTTCCCCAGTAGATGGCGCTATACTATAACAATGAGCCATTAATTGGATTCAACGGCTTCAACTTTTTCCTCAAAGGTATATAGGAGGATTTTCTACTTGTGGGTGGATCATCAAGACTATTGGTCCTCCCAGTTGTCAATCATTCTGGTGTTACGTGCTCGTCAGACCAGAGAGTTCTGTTCAAAAAGTGAATTATTTTCTAAAATTTGGGAAAATCAACTTTTCACAGTGGAATCTGGTTACTGACAAAAGCATGTCGCTTACTTTGTGCTATCAGAGTGGGCTAGCTTATAAAACCGTCAACTATAGCCGAATAACTAACGGCAAGGTTAGCAATAATTTTGTTTGTTTTATATCATAGATGCTACTTTAATACTACAAAACAAACAATTTTTAGAGGTGGATTGGAAGTTTAAAGCATGTTAAAGCTGGGGAACATAATTTTCAAACTGCACAAATGTTTAACTCATTGACCGTTTAACTATGTAATAAAACTCTATCTAATCTGTTCTCTCTCTCATAATAGTTTTCTTCTATCACTAGTTTTGACCTGCGTGTTCTTTTGCTTCGTGTAACATCCTTAGATCAACTTATTCAGACAAAAACGTCCAAAAAAGCGGCCCACCCTCACTCGGCCAATCAGCTTTCATCCCAACAGTGACTCACATTGCTCGTTCTGACAAGTATGCAAAAGGAAACGTGTTTTCTAATCAACATAAATACAGCTTGTCAGGGTCAGAATTGTTCTTTGGTCTTCCTGTTGCACGTATTATTTATGCTACAGCAACTTTAACGTCAAGGAAGTGCAATAGATATTTGTGTGTTTTTTTCTTGATCATTTATGGCAAGGCAAGGCAAGGCAAGTTTATTTGTATAGCACAATTCATACACAAGGCAACTCAAAGTGCTGAACAAAACAAGACAGCATTAAAATCATAAATAATCACAGTACATTAAAACAAAATTTAAAAAAAAGATAAAAATATAAAATCCCTCAGTTGTATGCACAGCTAAACAGAACCGTCTTTAACCTGGTTTTAAACATTGTCAGAGAGGAGGCCTGTCTCACATCTTCAGGAAGACGGTTCCAGATTTTAGCAGCATGAATCTGAAAAGCAGCCTCCCCATGTTTAGTTCTGACTCTGGACACTAACAGGAGTCCAGTCCCTGTGCTCCTCAGAGTCCGGGCTGGTTCATATGGGACTAACATGTCACTAATATATTTTGGTGCGAGGCCCTGGAGAGACTTGTACACAAGCAGAGCTGTTTTAAAGTCTATTCTCTGAGCCACAGGAAGCCAGTGCAGAGACCTGAGAATTGTTAGTTACCTATTGTAACTGTAGTTCTACGAATAGTGCGTAGCCCCTCAGGCTCGCTTTGGGTATGACTCCAGAAGCACCTAGCTTCCCGCCAGAGAGAACTCAATGCTCCAATCACTGTGCAGAACCTCCTATAAATAGCCCACAGCAGACCATGCTCTTCACTTTGAACTCGCCAAAGCCAGGTTGGACTGATGGGCCCGTAGCTAAGGGGCTACGCACTATTCGTAGAACTACAGTTACAATAGGTAACTAACAATTCTACTTCATAGTGCTACGCCCCTTAGGCTCGCTTTGGGTAACGAAGCGTAGCCTAAGAGTATGTACTCCCATCAGGCCAGCTAGCAGTGATTGGAGCCCTGCCGAGTAAGCCCTAACACCTCCAAGGTGTGGGAACTCAAGACAGACAGGGAATGAGGCAGTGATGGGGCCGCTCCTATCAAGGACGCCCAAGGAAAGGCTCAAAGGTGAAGCAGTGGTAGGGCCGCTCCTATCAAGGACGCCCGAAGCACTAACAGAATCCAAGAGGGAGGCCGTTCCAGGAACAGCCAAGTCTCTGACCAAACGCCCAAGGGCGAAGGTCACTTCCCAGGACGCCTCTACCAAGAGCTCCTGAGGAACACCGCGCGCGCCCCCGTAGGGGAACAAGGAACAGTCCCAGACCGCCTCTACCAAGAGCACCAGAGGACTGCACAATGCCGCGAAGGAAGAAGGAGAAGGCTGAGCCCAGGACGCCTCTATCAAGAGCTCCAGGAGGGGCCGGCCGCTCCAGACAACATAGACCGCAGAAAGCCTCAGAGAGAGACAGACACGGTCGCATCAGTCCCAGAGCTCAGGATGGAGTGAGCAACAGACCGCTCTGACACATCCACCAGGTAAGACAGAGCAAAGGTGGAAGACGAAGCCCAGGACGCAGCCTGGCATACCTCCTCCACCGAGGCCCCTCGTAGCAGAGCTGTGGAGGCCGCCACGCCCCGAGTGGAGTGCGCTCGGAACCCCACCGGGGGCACCATCCCCTGGGCCTGATACGCCGAGCGAATCGCCCGGGACACCCAGTGCGCCAGCCGCTGGGAGGATACCGGGGCGCCTCTGTTTTTAGGCCCCAAGCACACGAACAGCTGATCCGTGCGCCTGAAAGAGGACGTGACCTCCAGGTAATGCCTCAGCATCCTGACAGGGCACAACAGGTGTCTTTGCTCATCCTCCTGCGAGGCGTGAGGCGGAGGATGAAAAGGTCTGATCCGTATGACCCTGGACCTGAAGGTTGAGGAAACGACCTTGGGGAGAAAGGCCGGGTTGGGCCACAACTCCACCAACCCATCCCCCGGACCAAAGGACAGGCAGGCCGGGCTGATGGAAAGAGCGCACAGTTCTCCCGCCCTCTTGGTTGATACCAGAGCCAATAAGAGTGCGGTCTTGAAGGCCACGCATTCTGGGCTGGCACGGGTCAGGGGTTCGAAAGGAGGCCCTGACAGCCCTTTCAAAACCACCTTTAGGTCCCAGATCGGAGGTGTTCGTCTAAGGACCGGCCTCTTCCTGTAGGCCCCCCGAAGGAAGCGTTTGATTAACGGGTGGGAGCGGGCTGAAAACCCCCCGAACCCTTCGTGACCAGAGGCAATGGCCGAAGCGGACACAGCCCAGGTACTAGCGGCCCTGCCCTTATCCAAAAGGTCCTGCAGGAAGCCCAGGACGCCCTCTAGAGGGCAAGACCCGGGGTCCCACGAGTGGGCCGCGCACCAGTCTTTGAAAAGCTTCCACCGGCACCCGTAAGCCCTCACGGTGGAAGGTGCCCTCGCCCCTTGGATGGTATCCACCACCGCCCGGGGGAGGCCTAGTCGGGCTAGGTTCTGCCTCTCAGCCTCCAAACCCAGAGCCTGTGGCCCAGGACTGGGCGGGAGCGAAGCGTCCCCCCTCCCTGGACCAGGCCCCCTGGCACGTCCGGGAGAGGCCACGGGTCCATCACAGACATGTTGGTCAGGAACGGGAACCAACGGGCCTGTGGTCGGTCTGGGGCGACCAGGATTACCTCCCGCTCTTCCTGCTCGATCCTCCTCAGTAGGATCGGTAGGAGACGAGGGGGGGGGAAGGCGTACAACAGGCCCCCTGGCCACGGATAATGAGCCAAGGCATCCACCCCTAGAGGCGGATTGTCCGTGGGTCTCAGTGCGAACCAGAGCGGGCATTGCGCGTTGTCTGCACTGGCGAACAGGTCCACCACAGGCCGACCAAACCTCTGCCAGACCTCCGCTGCCATCTGCGGGTCGAGGCCCCACTCGTCCTCGAGAGGGCCTCCCCGTGACATTATGTCCGCCCCTGTGTTCCTGTCTCCCGGAACATGACGCGCTCTCAGAGACTGCAGATGCCCTGCAGCCCAGATCAGAATGGTCGCTGCCAGTCGGTGGAGGGCTGGGGACCTCGTGCCCCCCTGCCGGTTCAGATACGCCACCACTGTGGTGTTGTCTGAGCGCACCATCACGTGTCTCCCCGCTAGTTGTGGAGCGAAATGCAGAAGCACCCTGTGAACCGCCTCCATCTCCAGCAGATTGATGTGACGAAGAGGGCCTGACCAGGCGCCCCCCACAGAGCTCTGGTGCAGAACCCCCCCCATCCCTCCAGAGACGCGTCCGTGAACACCTCCACGTGTGCCACGGCACCGACCAGGGGAACTCCTTCCAGCATCAGACCGGGCGTGAGCCAGTAGCTCAGGTCCTCGGCCACTCCTGGAGGAACAATGAGCCTTCTGCCCCCGTCTCTTGTGGGATGTAGTCGGAGACGGGAGAACCACCTCTGGAAACGTCTCAAATGAAGGAGACCTAGCCGCACCACTGCATGAGCTGATGCCATCATCCCCAATAGAGACCGTATTCGTCGGGCGGTCACTGTGGGAGAGGTCAGCGCTTCCTGAGCTAGACGCGTGATGCTCGAGCGTCTGTCCTGGGAGAGCGCTGCCCGAAACTCCACCGAGTCTAGCTGTAGACCTAGATAGACTAAGCGCTGTGCGGGTTGCAGATTGCTCTTTTCCCTGTTCACCACAAAGCCTAGG